CACATGATGGGGAGCAGTCACCTGCAGGCAATCAGAAGACCAGGACTGACCAGGTATGCTCTTGGGCAGGAACCCTCGCAAGGGTGCTGGTCCACAGACCCTGCCCCCTCAATGTGTCCTCACACAGCAAGGCCCCTATGTATGCACACCGGAGAGAGCTATCAGGCGTCCACCTTATCCATCCTCATTGAACCTTAACCACCTCCTGCAAGCCCTATCTACAAACACAGCCACGTTGGAAGACAGCAATGAGGACTTAGCCCATCATAGCCTTCAAGGTCATGGCCCCTTCTTCTTCACTCTAACGCATCCCACCTTCCCCACTTTCCCATCCTTCCCGGTCACAGGTCCTGGGTAGGTGCTGATGGGACGCACAAGGCTGGTCCTAGGCACATGTCCTAAGCAGGACTGGAGGTCTCTTCTCATTCTAAGAGGTCCGAGAGGGTTGGTGGGTCCCAGGAGAGCCCGTGAGAAGCCTGTAGGCTACCTCCCCTGGTGGAGAAACCAGCCGTCTTCCATGGAAGACTGCCTGCAGCTGTGCGTGCCTTAGGACCGGTGGAGCAAAGAAAACCACTGGTGGAGCTGCCATCTTGGCAAGGCGCAGTGTCTACAGGGAGAGGAAGAAGGGCCCAGCGTGGCAGGTGTCTGGCTCTTGGGACCCAGGTCCTCAGCATCTGTTGGGAGCTGCAACCAAGGCAGTAGTGGGAGCCTCGGGCACAACCACCCCCAATGAGCCTCGGAGGAACACTTCCTGCTAAAAGATTTCAAACGTGTTAGGAAGCTCTCCCCAGGGAGTTAAGTCAGCTATGCTGATCTGCATTTACAAATTACAGGCTGAGTTCTAAGGACTAATTCCACGGCCACACAGCAGGGGGGAGCACTGAGCTCTGGAACACCAGCAGCCAGTGGGCAGGGGAGGGGGGGGGCTCCTGAAAGAGCCAGTAGACCTGAGCACTAGCCTGGGTTCTGGCACCAATTTCCTGTACACCCTTGGGCAGAATTATTCCACTTCCCCCCTGGAACATTCTGGAACTCAGGTTTCCATCTCTAAGGTGAGAGGCAAAGAGAGAGAGAGGAAGAGACAGAGAAAGACAAAGAATCTTTGGTTTGCTGATTCACTCCCCAAATGGCAACAACAAGGCTGGGCTGGCCTGGACTAGGTCAGCCTGCAGCCAGGAGCCAGGCCTCCCACGTGGATGACAGGGGCCCAAGCATTTGGGCCAGCCTCTGTTGTTGCTTTCTCAGTGCTTTAGCAGAGAGCTGGATCACAAGTGGAACAATGAGACTCTAAGCGGCACAACTGGGACTCAGTGGGGGCTCTGATATGGGATGCTGGAGTCACAAGCGGTGGCTTGACATGCTGCACCACAGCACTGGCTGCTGGATCAATTTTCCTCACTCTGACTGTACCCCTGTTGTCTGGGGAATCCAGGTGTCAGGATGGGGGCAGCCTGAGTGCAGCTCTCCAGACTGGGCCCTCAGCCAGGTAGGATACAGCCTCAGTGTCTTCAGAGAAGGCGGTGATGCACTGGAACAGGTGCAGCTCTCTGGGACGGCTGTGGGACCGCTCCTCTGCAGGTTGAGCTTTGCCTTCTTGGTCTCAGAACTCCAATTCTTCAAGATGGTGACTCTGGCTGAAAGGCTTGGGTTTGAATCCCGGGTGCCCCCTATCTAACCTTGACCTGAGGCTCCACCGTCTCCAATCCTGATCTTTCTCTATATGCTTGGAACAAAAATAGTAGCTGCTTCCTGGGTTGCTGTGGGGATAAATGAGACAATCAGTGAAGTGCGTAGCCTTGTCGCAGAACTCGTGGGCTGCTCCCCGCCTCCTCCACAGCTTCCTTTGCTTCTTCTTTTTTTTTTTTTTTGTCCCCATTTCCTCAAGTTTTGGGTGACTCCATCCCCTGCTGGGACAGAATACAACGCAGCTGATCAATTTAGTCCCAGAAATGTTTGTGCTCAAGTCCCACACTCCCAGGAATAGGTTTTAAGCATTCTTATCTCAAACCCAGAAGACAGAGGATGCACAAAGCGCTACTGCCCCGTTTAGCAGACTGGCTGGTGGCGGTACAGCAAGGTAATGCTCTTAGTTACTGCTCATTAAGGACTCAGGAACTGGACAGCCAAGTGCTAAGTGGTTCATCTGTGTCCTATCGGAAAGAGAAGTCTCACGTTGATGGTTGCCTGCCTGGAAGTACGCCCACGTTCACCAGTGTCTGGTCCCAGTGTAGACTCTGAGTCTGCAAGCCCTGGGAGGGAATTAGATCGTACACGGTTAACACAGTTCCCTGGTGGTGTGGGTGCTGGCCAGGGAGGACCGCATGTGGAGCAGCAAAAGGGTCTGGCCCAATTGCTCCTGGTGGGAAGCATAGGATTTCACAGCAGGTCTGAACTTGGGCTGGTGGGTAGCCCTAGCAGCCAGCAATTCTCTCACAAGCAGAGGTCCTCTCCCGTAGGTCTGCCAGTCAGCAGACAGACAATGTGTACCTACTGTGTGCAGAACGAGGCTCTGGCGCTAGGCAGGTATAGCAGAGACCAGGAGAAGAAAACAAAACAAAACAAAATCTGTCCTTCGGGGATGTTTTATTCTGGCCTGAGGAGATAGAAAATAAGCAGGAGATGTAGCAAGCAAGTGATAGAAGTAGCAGAGGTTGAACACGGTGGAAAGGTGGGCTGATTAAAGGAGGGCAATATGCTGTGGGTGGAAGGCAGTCGATGCCAGGAGGATGCTCAGGGTGGACCTGCTTGGTCTGAGCAAAGGCCTGAGGGAAGGAGCGAGCTGGCTGTGGGGCTGGGGCATAGCAGAGAGCCAGTGCACTGAGGTGCAGGCGGAGAGCCTGAAGGTGCAGAGGTAGCCGATAGCAGCCTCCACCACCACAGCAAGCCCTGTTTTTTTTCTGCTGGGCGGGGGGCGGTGAAGGGCATCACCACATGTGAGGTAGAGGAAGGCATCGCACAGGTGACACTGGGTACTGTGTGAAAGACTGCAGCGACTCTGTGTGCAGGTTTGTGGGTCCTTCTTCTAGAACATGTGTACCTGGAGCTCGGGTGGGCCTGGGAATCCGCGTCATTTCCAGCCTACAGGTGATGCAGTCTTCTGTGAACAGTCTTAGGCTACGGCATGAACTCCCTGGAGTCTGTGCCTCGGCTGGTGCGGATTTGGATGTACGCACGCAGGGCAGCACCATGCTCCCCAGCTGGCTTCCAGCCAAGGCTTCTTCATTCGTTAGTCATGAGTTATCCTTAGAGGCTCAAAACAGAGTCAGCAGAGGCTCTGTAATGATGAAGATGCGATGAATGGCAAGCTGTCACTCTTCCTCCCTGGAGGGGAGGGGAGGGGAGGGGAGAGAAGGGGAGGAGAAAGGAGGGGAGGGAAGGGGAGGAGGTGGTGCTGGGCCTCCTAGCAGTCTCCTCTGTGCTGTGGGCATGTGCAGCTTGAAGCTTGGCATGGCCCAGAGAGAGGTGGGGTTCTTGCCTGGAAGGAAGGCACTGGGAAGCCCCAGGTGTGTGAAACTGGCATTACCTCTAGCATCTAGCCTTACGGGATGCAATGCCTAATGATTAGGCATGAGGTGGTGTTAGCACCCATCTGATAGCTGAAGAAAGCAAAGGCTCCAGTGCCTACTCACTGCAGCACGTTGGGAGAAGGAACGCGTCAGCCGGGGAAAACGACTGAGCACTTCTAGCTAAGCTGGCTTCCTCAAAGGTCCATGGCAAAATTCCTGGAATTGTAGCAGCAAAGCAACTCTAAACAATCCCAGCCCCGCTCCTTCCTACTCCTGCAGAACCCACCAGGCCTGCTGCTTATCAGTGGGAGGAGTCACCAGCACCAGGCACACCCCCCACTCCCTGGGGTGAGTGCTGCGGGGAGAGAGAGCTGGGATGCTGCCTCTGACATTAGCATCCTGTGAGTGCTGGTTCCTGGATGCTCTGCTTCTGATGCAGCCCCCTCCAATGCTCCCAGGAGAGCAACGGAAGATAGCCCAAGCATAAGGGCCATTGCTATTCATAATGTGGGAGACCTAGATTGAATTGCTGGTTCCAGACTTTGGCTAGGCCTTGCTGCCTAGCTACTGGGAGTGTCTAGGGAGTAAACTGATGTATGGAAGCTCTTCCTCACCCCAAATCCCATCTCCTGCCTTTCAGATAAACATAAATAATCAGGTTTGAAAGAAAAGAACATTTGACTTTGAATCCAGAACAGCGGTTCTCTACCTGGAGTGTGCTTCAGCACTACCTGGAGGGCTTGTGAAGTCAGCTTGTGATTCTGTGACGTGGGTGGGTCTGGTGGCCCAGGGGTCGGGTGGCTGCTCAGGACAGCGGTGTCCCTGAGTGCTTGCTGAGTTCCTCTGCTCTGCTCTGCTTCCAATCCAGCTCCTGCAATCCTGGGAGGCAGCAGATATGGTTCCCGTTCCTGTCATTCATATGGGAGACCTGGATGGAGTCTGGGTTCCTTGGCTTCAGCCTAGTCCAGCCTGGCATTTGGGGAGTGAACTAATAGATTGAAGATTGATCTCTCTCAAATAAATACACTTGAACAAATTTTTAGAAGTGCATTTAAAATTTTTTAATTAACACATGATAATGGTACAAGGTACTTTAAAAATTCATGGAAATGCAATGAAAAGATTTTGGTGTACAAAAAATTTTGAAATCCATGCACAGGCAAGGTCTTCTAAAAGGTCATGGAAATGGGTATTATAAATAAAAACCAATCTTGGATCTCAAAATGTTTTTGCACCTAAGTAAACTTGTAGTCCCATTCGCCATGAATTTTCCGAGGTGTCTGTACATACTCATGGTGCAGGGTGATATTTCAATTCATGAATGATATGTACAATGATCAGAGCAGGGTCGCTGTCACATCTATCATCTCCAACGCTCAAAACTGCTTTGCCCACCCAGATGACCTTTCCCCATGCTTTCAGCCTGAGGGGCAGCCCTTCTGCACAGGGGTGGCCACAGTGTCTGGGCAGCGAGAATTAATCCAACACCAAACAGGCAGATGAAACCAACAGTCTTTATTGCAGAGCAAAAGCTAAGGGACTCAGGACCGGAGCTTTGATTCCTGGAGGCTCTTCTGATCTCCCCAAGCTCCCCTGCAGGCAAGGGCAAATCTTCCAAGCCGGATAGAAAACTCCTTTCACAGGCAGTCCCTTCAAAGGGCCTGGGGCAAGCCCCTGGGGCAGGAGGTACCCTGGCTTGGGAGGGATGGGAGGGCAGAGGGCCTAAAGGCAGGGTGTTAGAGGATCAGGAAGGTTCAATCCTCACCTCCCTGTTAGGGAGGCTGGGGAGAACTGAGAGAACTTTCTCTTCCACTCCAGGATGTCCCCAAGGCTCTCGCTTCTCAAACTATGAAGAGCTTGTAGGAATCATTTGGGGACCTTGGGAAAATACAGATTCCCAGTCAGGAGGGCTGGCCCGAGACCCTGTGTTTCTAACAAGCTCCCAGGAGCCACAGCTGCTGCAGCTGGTGCCAGACTCTGGCCATGCAAAGGCTTGGCCAACCAGAGAAGGGTGACTCCTCCCTTTTCGCAGGAACCCCAGTGCAGGATGCAGACTGCCCCCCTCCAACATCTAGGGCAGCCCTGGAGACCTTGACCTCCTCCAGGCAACCATTTTTCCAGGGTCTAGCCACCCAGGCCCTGGCATCCAAAGAGTGAGTGAGCTGTCTCCTGGGATCCTGAGCACTCAGGGTTGGCCTGCTGATGTGAGTTCCTCCCCAAAAGGCAGGTGCCCCAGGTGGGGGCAGGGGCCTGGAGGTGTTCTCAGCACTTAGCAGGCAAACTCAGAAACAGTAAAGAGGTGTGGCCCACAGGATGCAAGCTTTGGGTACCGCTGGTGGAGTGTGAGGCAGCCTGCTTTGCGGAGGAGAAGGTGGGAGGTAGATACCTAAGAGACCAAAGCTCTCCAAAGTATAGTTGTTTCCAAAAAGCAAGCATGCCAAGACCCCTTTCTGGTGAGCCTGGCTGGGCTATCCTGCTCAGCTGGGGCTGGCCCAGTTTCAACCCCACATCCCTGGAAGGTAAACCAGGCTTGACTGCTCATGCAACTGCCCAGCCATTACCCCAGGTCTCAAAAGGACTAGGTAGGTCACCAAGGGCTCCTGGAGTGTGTGGCAACAAATTGGTGGCCCCCTGTGTCTTCTGCCTAAAGGGAGGCCGTGAAAAGCCAGCCAGAGGGAGGTGGTGGGACAGACAGGAGCCACAGGTGTAAAGGGCTATGCTTTCTCTGGGCCGCCTGTCCTGCAGCTCAGGGACAGTGACAGGGTCCCCCAGTGCCGGTGTGCACTAGCTCACACTCAGGGCAGTGGTGGAACACAGCTTTCCAGTGCACAGATTCTTCTATCAGGAGGCAGACCAGAGCTGCCTATAACTCCCAGCTTCCCGACTCCTTCTCATCTGTTCTTACTTGCAGACTCCAGAGGGTCTGAGGACCCCCTCCCCTGGGCTGAGGATGGGCCCACTCTGGGAAGCAATAAATAGAGGTTGTTATCCACTCTCCCAGGGCAGCCCCTGGCTCTGTACAAGACCTTGGGGTCCCAGAAACGCTCAGTGTGCTGGCCGGTAGGTGACTGCATCCGGGACTGCCTACATCTCCAAGCAGGCAGCAGCTCCACCCCACCATGCTCTGCCCAGTCCACAAAGTGCAGAGAGGGCAGCAGTGGTGCTCCCTGTTGTACAGCAGCCATGAGAGATGAAAACCCTGACCAGGCTCCAGCCCTCTGGCTGCCTTCTCCTGGTGGCACTCCAGGGCCCACTACTGCTCTAAGCTAGTTCCCCTGGGCCCGCGCCACCCACCCACCCCCAGTCCCCCGAAGCTTGGCCTCTGCGGGCCCGCAGGACTCATCCCCCAGAGCGGGGCAGGCCAGAGGCCCCTGTCCCTCGCTGGGCGGGCCCAAGGCGGGCGGCCTAGGGTGGTGCGGCGCTGGCGCCTTCCGGAGACATGAGCATGTCAAACTTGATGAGTGGCGGGGCGATGACGCGCACCTCGGCGCTGAGCGGGTTGAAGCGCAGGTTGATGCAGCGCAAGGCCGGCATGGCCGCCAGCTTCTCCACGGGCACGTCTGCAGGGAGAAGCCCACAGGTTAGAGGGGCGGGGACGGGGGGGGGGGGCACCTCGTAGGGGGCTTCCCACAACCCAGCAAAGTTCACCCTGAGGTGGCGTGGAAGGAGTTCAAACAGGTGCACACATAGTTGTGGGCCCAGCCGTTTGTAGGCTAAGTCCACCATGAATGGGGAACACTCTGTCGAACTTGTGAACCTGGAGAACACTGAGTTGATGCCAGAAGACCAGTAGGCTCACTGCCCAGAAAAGCCAGGTAAACAGGGAAACAAGGTGGCCTGCAGGTCACCAGGTGACACGGTGGGCTGAGGCCAGGAGTTTCATCTGGGTCTCCTTGTTCCCCGCTAGCTCTTCCCTGGTTGTTGCAGGCATTTGGGGAGTGAGCCAGCAGGTGAAGGTCTCTGTTTCTCAAACAAAATAACTGTAACTGAGGGAAGCATAATGATCTTGGCTCGAGGCGAAGCAGTGAAAATCTGCATTTACCAGGACTCTCATCACACATCCTTCCTGGATGGCAGCCCCGTAACAGCTCTGTGGGGAGTTCCAGGTGACAGTCACTTGGATTCTCTCCTAGGGACTGAATGCCTGCTGAAACCCAAACATGCTTATCGCCTGCCGCAGCTGTGCTTTCCCCAGCCCGAACGGTAACATCTGGAAAGCAAGTTTCATAGTGGCATCTACTCAACTTCCATCATCAGCAATGTCTTCTTGTCACAAAGTCAGGATGCTGTGAATTCAAGCGCTAGACTTCTGTGCATTTGAGAGGATGAGGCTGTGTTGTGTGGGCCACAGACATAAGGCTTAGAACATGGACAAGCTGCAGCCCCAGGCTCCCCCCGCCCGCTGGCCAATCACTCCCCTGCACATTGGCATCCCATGCTGGGAAATCCAAGTCACTCATTTTATGTTGGTCTGGGGTTTTCTTATCGTGAGACCAGCACAGGTGCCACATACCTTAGGAGGCACACAACACCTAGCCTAGTGTTGCTCTGCCACTTAGTCAATGTGTTTCCTGATTCCTCCTCTGCGTACTCACTGAAGTCCGCGAGAAGACATTCTAAATGCATGCAAATATCCACGCTTTGCACCCACTGGCCCTAGATTTAGCATCCACTGATGATGCCTGCCTAACCTGACCTTCATCACAGCCATTAGAAATGGCACCACAGAATGCCTGCAGGCCCGCAGTACGCTCCTGGGGACCATGCATTCTCTCCCCTGTGTCCATCGCCCATCAACATAGACAGCTAAATTTCCAGTGATTTACAGTTCATGACTGATTCTCTTGGTCCTCAAGCTGGATTTGGCCAACAGGAGCCTCATTAGTCTGCTCCCATTTTGTGGCTGCCCCCAGCGTGCTGGGATGTGCTTCCTCACCTTCTGGCAGGATGCATCTTCAGCCTTCCCCTGGAATTCCAGCCCTTGGAATCAGCCGTTTTTCCCCAAAAGGTGCTGGCTGTTTTCAGGACCAAGGGCAATAGGGCCCAGGGAGGACAGCTTTTCACAGTGCACACACAAGGCCTGTGTATGCTCATTCCCACTCTATCTGCTTTGGATCATGGTCTTGTGCACCCTTCCAGGCACCCACCACACTAACCCTTTCCACTCTGCCAGCACATGTGTGTTCTGTCTTCCCGTTGCCCTCCAGAACCACTGTCCCCTGAAGGGCTTTTCCAAGAGACTACTTGGACCTGCCTGTGCCTGCCTGGGGCCCCAAGCTAGTGGGGCTGCGCTGAGCTCCTTACCACCTATAAGGAATCCACACAGTCCATGAGCACTCTCTTCCCCTCCAGGCTGGGGAACTGGGACGCAAGACTTGGGGCAAGGGGAAAGGGAAGCCACCAGCCCAGCACAATTCTTCATGGATATATGCACACTCACATTTAGCCAGCACTGCCATGGTTAATCCTCCTCTAGCCCACTTTACTGATGAGGCATGGCCAGGACCCATCTCAGGGCACACAGCTGGAAGCAGAGCTAGGGCCCAGGACTATTGCCTCTTGGCTCATAGCGCACTTCAAATTACTGAGGTGGGAGTAGGCAGGGAGGAGGCACCTGAAAAGCGTCAAACCTGAGCCTGCAGGTGGCTCAGCACGCGGCAGGGATGGGTGTATGTGGGAGTGAAGAGGTGAGGGGTGAGGGTGGGGAGGGGCAGCTCCCAGGGACTCTTTTCCACAAGGCTGTCAGCCAGAGAGATTCATGACTGAGGGGGAGCTTGCAGGAGTTTGGGTCAATTTTGTTGATGTTGGTGCATAAGAGCCTCATAATGGCCATCTGAGTGCTATTATTATCTCCATCTTCTAGGAGAGGAAAAATGGAGTGCAGAGGGCTGGAGGAACTTGTGCATGGACCCAGGGGCAGGAAGTGCTGGAGCGAGGCTGCCAAGCCAGGCTGTTTGAATGCCCAGTCCCAGTCCTCCAGTTTGGAATACACCTCCACACACCCACACCCCAGCTGGGAGAACCTCTGAGAGGTCTCTTGATTAAGGGAAACAGAAAATGATCTTCCTGGGACCTAGGGGAGCAGCTGTTTTGCCCCTATGGCACATAGTATCCCCCAGGACACCCAGCCAGAAGTAGCACCTCCAACAGCTCACAGCCACCTGTGGGGGAGGGGGCACAGGTGCTCCACGTCCCATAAGGTCCCCTTAGCAAGCACTTGCTTGTTGACCTGCTCATATAGAAAAAGCTATCTGGAAGATGGTCTCAAATTGCTTCCGGAACCTTCCATGCCTCATTGTTCTGCTCCGCGTCACAGCATAGGACAAAACTGTCTCTTTTTGTTCACAGCACTTCTGAGACTCACAGCCCAGAAAATACTATTTTGGGGTTGAAAACAAAATGGAATAAACATGGCTCATGGCTAACTGCAATACTTTTCACTTTCGTAACTTCTGATTTGCTTGCTTTGCTAAGAAACTCTATGAGCTTCCAGGCCAAAAGGCCTATTTGACTTTTAGCGCTGACAGACTCCAATTCCCATGAACCAAATTCCAAATGTGGTTATCTCACATGTGGCTCCAAGTAAATAAGTAAGTGGTTACCTTAACTGCTGAACCGGAGAAGAGCCAGGTATGGCTGTCCAGCCGAGATAGGTAGGGAATTTACCCCCTTGTGTGGCATTTAGCCCCTCACCTTGCAGGCGATTGTAGATTGCCCCCTTTTCAAGCTATTGTGCACTGCCCATATAAAAACCCTGTGAATGGGCCCAGCACGATGGCACAGTGGTTAAGGTCCTCGCCTTGCACGCCTGGAATCCCATATGGGCGCCAGTTCTAATCCTGGCAGCCCCGCTTCCCATCCAGCTCCCTGCCTGTGGCCTGGGAAAGCAGTTGAGGACGGCCCAAGGCTTTGGCACCCTGCACCCGCGTGGGAGACCTGGAAGAGGCTCCTGGCTTCGGGTTGGCTCAGTTCCAGCCGTTGTGGCTGCTTGGGGAGTGAATCATCAGACGGAAGATCTTCCACTCTGTCTCTCCTCTGTGTATATCCGCCTTTCCAATAAAAATTTTTAAAAATCTTTAAAAAAAAAAAAAACCCTGTGAATGTGCTATTCAGGACCACACTCCAGTAAGAGGTATTGGTTGGTTGTCTTGCCTCTCATTATAATAAAACTTTGTTGTGACTATCACTGGTGAATGTAACATTCTGTTTTAGCGAGTAAATGCAAGGCCATCACCTTCCTTAAGCAGACGCCCCCAGGCCCTTCCCTTCTGTGTGATCTGTGATCAGGTGCTGGTTTTGGTTGCCTGTGCTCTGGGATCTGGAGGTGAAGGCTGGCTTTCAGCAGCTGACTATGTTGCATTAGGCAGGCCCTCTGAACCTGAGCCCTCGCACACAGCCCACGCTGCAAGGGTAGCATGAGGAACGAGCAGCACCACACTCCAGGCAAAACCTGCATCCAACAGTGTTGGTCCTTGCTCCCTGTCACTAGCCTGGAGTCTGCATCAGCCAAGCTGCACCCCAGGCCTGCCAGGACTTGTCGGGCTCCTTAACCCCGAGTTGGCCAGGCTGTCAGGTCACATGGCAACATGGCAGTGTGGAGTCTTGCAATTCTTCCCAAGGGGCTGTAACTCAGAGAGCGCCTCACCCCAGGCAGGGAAAATTGGAAGCCTCAGTTTTGACCTCTCCAGAAAGGTCCTTGCCATGTTCATGCTCGTGGGTTGCTGACCAGGGGCTGTCTAGGTCAAGGGTGAAAGACAGCCAGAGCTGGGAGGTCCCTGCAAGTACCCCAGCACAGCAGGAAGTAAATCCTCCCACCCCTGTGTCCCTGCCACTAGATGGCAGTGCTGATGCTGAACCGCACACACAGGTTGGGAGCAGTAGCCCACGCACCCCAGGACAGCCTGGCCTCTCAGCTGCTGTGGGTGGGCGGGGCTCTGTGGGACACAGCGACTGGTCAATCATCGGCGCTGGTTATGGCCTTCTAGCTGTCGGGCACTCAGGAGCCCCTGGACAGGAGTGAGGCGAAGAGGATCAGGAGGAGCAGATGGGAGAGTCCAATATCCCAGATAAGCCTGAGGGGCTCTGAAGCAGAGACAAGAAGGCTGTTCCAAGAGGTTTTGAACTAATACCTCTCTGCCTCCTTCCATCTGCTCCCGAGAGCTCATTCAGTTGCAAATGTCACATGACACAGTGCCTAACTAGGTGCTGGGCTGGAGGAAGGACTTTCAAGCAAGGAATAGGGAATAAAAGGACAGGTTCCTGGGAATCTTGAACCTGCTGGGATTGGCAGTCTGCAGAGCAGCACGGGCAGGAGCCAGCCCCTCTGCCAGGAAGGATGCCTGGATGCCATGGCATTGGGCTTTTCAAAAGGAAAGTCCTACTCTGGCCTGTCAACCTCCATGGGCCACATAAGTAAGAGTGCAGAGGTCCCAGCCCTAAGGCCTGTGCTGGCTGTTTTCTCATAAGGACCCACTGTACAGATTGGGAAACTGAGTCTTGGGTTCTAGCCAAACCAGTAGGTGGTGAGAACAGAACAGTCGCAGATCCCAAAGTTTGTGCT